ACAATAAAAAAATTTAGAGATGTCTAGAAAACAAGATAAATTTAAGAGAATACAGAGTAATTAAATCCCTGGTATGAGCTTACCAGAGGGGCAAGGTATAGATAAAGACCTAAGGCGTAAGTCTTAGAATACTCCAACATGAAAACTTGTGGCAGAGGACTAAAATTTTCACAATAGAAAATGCAAATGTAAAAAGGTTAGGACAGAACTAGGTTCTTGAAATAAAATAGAACACAAAACTGAAAATAATCTAGACTTGACCATTCTGATGTATAGATTCACTCAAATCCCATTGGATCCGATGTTCACTTTATCAATCACCCTAGTAAGTGACTAGTTGAAGACTGGGCAGTAAGAATACAGAAAGTGGCCTTGTATGTGGTATGGTATGATGCTTTCCTATCACTGGGCCTTTTGACAACTGAACCTGGACTCAGATATAAAGAGTCCCATGAAAGCCCTCCTGAAAGAAGGGATAACTTGTCCTATGCCTTGGAACTAAATGGATATAGAACTTAAAATTGCCCATAGAAGTTCACAGAGAGGATCTGTACTTGTGATCCTAGTATCTAGGACCCATTCCAAATGTGTTGCTGAGGAGCAAACCCAAGACCTTGTACATACTTGGCAAGTGTTCTACCACTGAGTTGCAACTGCCATCCTAAATAATTTTGGCGTTGTGCCTCTCTTCTAACATCTTCCTCCTGAAGTCTTATCAAACACTGTGCCCTGGCTTTATGTTATGTTAGACCAAAGTAAATTAACTTCCTGTAGTAGATAAAAGACAAGACTCCAGGGCCACACAGGTGAACAAGTTCCTGCTCCACTGTTTACTAGTTGAGAAATAATCTGAGAGATATATCAACTAGTTTACATGAGAAGTCATGACAACCAGATATATGTGTAGTGAAAATGGGAGTGGAAGGTATGAAATATACGAAAGAGAGACTGGTGACTAATCTTAAGTGGGACATAAGAGAAATTTCTAAATCAGTGCAAAATTTCTACTTGAGTCTGGTAAGTGCATTTCCATAAACAGGGGCTAAAGGAAAGAGGAAGGGCATTTGAGCAAGAATAATGAAATAATGCAATGGATTGAACGTTACAAAGTTCCTATGTTGAAATCTGAATTCCCTACGAGGAGGTGGAGCTTTGAGGGGATGATTAGGTCATGGGGGTGGAGGCCTCATGAATGAGATTAGTGCTTTTATGAATAAAAGAAGCCTAGAGAGACCTTTCCCTCCTTCCACCATATCAAGACATAGCAAATAAATGCTGTCTATGAGGAAACATGTCCTCATGAGTCACTGAATCTGTGTGTACTTCATCTGGGGCTTCTCAGGCTTCCATCTATGACAAATAAGTATCTGTGGTTTCCTATTTTATCATATTTTATTATAGTAATTGAATAGACTAGTACAGATGATCGCTAAGTTCCAAACATTGTAGGTATTTGGCAGAAGGGTTCAAGAGGCAGTTGGAAATACTTCTGAAAGAGACATATCTTTCTGAAAAATATTGATACACTTCCTCCAAAAGTGTGTCCTCTAATTTGAGACTCAAAGAAATACTTCTTTTGGGCATATCTTTTTCCCCCTATGGTAAATGAGCATCATATCTTTTGGACATGCTTGAACATTTTATACCTCTGTGGTATAACTTAGCGTTGCTATCTCTTGCAATTTTGACTCCCCACCTCTTGTTTGGTGATGAAGTCTCTTAGTATTCAGCTTAACAATGCTATTTCTCTGTTGATCTACCCTAACTCTGTTAGGTAACATTCTTACAAGCATATGACTTGATTATAACAATTTTACAATTCAGAAGTCCTATTGAATATCACAATAATCATGCACTTGTAAGTCTGTGTCTAATAGATCCATCAGATTAGTTCCATGTCATCTATTTACCCAGAATTTCCACATCGGAAAATTCAATATACATTGAAACAAGCGAAAAAGGAATAGAAATTCATTGTGGTGTTACAAAACTTAGGAAGGATATTTCAGTTTTAGTATGTTAGTTTCTTTACTTTTATGGCATAGAAAATTAGGATATAGAAGAGTTCCACAATCACTAGCTTTGATTTGTGTTCTGTCATTTAACTAAAAAACTTTAAAACAAGGTGGAATTCCTCAGTTATTTGAAAGGAGTAAAACCACTCATTTGTTCCAAATGTCTGGTGAGGGCTGTAACATGTCTAATGAGCATGTTTAAACTTAACAGGTTGTTCCAGGTGCTAGTGGCTGGTGCCTGTAATCCTAGCTACTCAGGAGTCTGAGATTTAAAGATTGAAGTTCAAAGTCAACGGGGGCAGGAAAGTCTGTGACACTCATCTCCAATTAACTACCAGAAAATTGGAAGTGGCTCAAAATGGAAAAGCACCAGCCTAGAGCAAAAGAGCTCAGGGATAGCACCCAGGACCTGAGTTCAAGCCCCATGACTGACAAAGTAAAAACAAAACAAAACAGAAAAAAAAGCCTATAAATAAATATAAATCTGGGGTTCAGTGCTGTAAAAAAAGTCTATAATCGTTCATTACCTGAAATACTTATTTGAAAGTTAAAACAAGTGTTCTGATTATTTTGATTTGGGGAGGGGTTCTGAAATGGGGTGCAGGAAACTACATTATTTACAAGTATTATCAGGTGATTCTCACTATTTGCCAAGTTTGAAAAGTCATAAAGGCAGAGTTTTACAAAGACCCTAGTGTCTGTGCATTTTTTTTAAATGCTGTTTGAGGCTAAATGTCCAAACATCTCATTTATTTTATTAAGTAAACGCATAAGTTGTAGTTGTCATTATAATCCAACAGATGTCGCTGTGTTTCCCTTGAAAAAATTAACACCCCCTACACACACACACACACACACACACACACACACACACACACACACACACACCCCATCTCCTAGAAATTCCCTGTAACACCCCCTACACACACACACACACACACACACACACACACACACACACACACACACACACACACACACACACACACACCCCATCTCCTAGAAATTCCCTGTGATACCTCAGGGCAAAGAAGCACAGTACCTGGGCTGCAGCCTAAAGGGAACATTTTCGTGTAGTATCTGAGTATCTAAGTGAGCCTTCTATGGGAAGATTGTGCAGCAAAGTGGGGCGTATGTTCCAATAATTTCACCACTGTATATCATTTCTTGCTATTTTTATATGGTTAATATTGCTTATAGAACAAGCACACCATTTATTTACACAGGCAGAGACCAGTTTTGTATTTTTTTCCTTCTCCTCTAGTCCTTTAAACCTTTAAAAACCACACTTAACTTGAATTTGACCCACATGCTCTAAATATCTGCCAGCCACATTTGTAGTGCACATTGTAGTGCACTCAATGAGGGCTGATTGCAAGGTTGGGAGCTCCTAGTGTTTTCATTTCCCAACCATTTTGCTTCAGGAAAGACTGCAGAAATACATCTTAGCAAGGACTACTGGAATGGCCCACTTGATTTCAAAGCTTTTGTAAACAAAGGTTCATTCTGGAATGTTCCTTGCTCAAATTCTTGATCTAAGGAGAAATTTCGAGTAAAGAAAAAGTTCTGTTAAATTCCCAAGGGACTAGAAGTTACACTAATGGCTGTATCACCTTCTTGCTAATTACTGTAAATGGCTATTAAGATCCATGTTGTACAGCAATCTTTAGCGTAAATTCAATACATCACAGAATTTTCCATTTGAGATTTCTAGCTCTTTTGTTCACAAACAGCTATCTTGAAACTATGCATTGTTTTGCTCTGAATGCTTTTATGGCAGGTATTAACCAAAAGAATGATAGAAAAGAAAAAAGGAAGGGCAGAAGAAAGCAGTCTAGTATAAGTGTGAGTCTAGACTACTCAGAAAATAGTACCACTGGCATTAATGGTCTGGATAAAACCCAGGAAATTTCTTGGAGAAATTGCAATGTGCCCATTTTCAATGCATATGTAAAGTCTCCTGTTAGAGACTGAAATTTGGAAAGATCTGTATGTTTTTTTTTTTAAACATATGCATTGCAATTTTCCCAAGAAATGTCCTGGGTTTCATTTTATTGTTGCCATGTTCACCCCTGACCTCTTCCTCCAAACTTTGCAATCCCCTCTCTCCAACTCGATCCTGAGCGCCCCAGCATTATGCTCGGTCATGTGATTTTTGTACTGAAATCTTTTTTTTTTTTTTTTTTTCAATCTCCCATCAAGACTCATTGCACGGGAGCAGAGACAAGCATGCGTTCTGACAGCCATTGCATCCATCCACCGCACACGGAACGCCGCCGTCCTGCCCGGCGGGAGAAACGCCGGTGAACCGGTGGGTCGGCCCGGGTCCCCGGCGAAGGGCCGGATCGCAGGCACGACCGCCTTTCCTCGGGGTCACCATCCAGTCCAAGTGAGGACGCACGCGGTGACAGGGCCCGTCAGGCCCGTCTCGTGGGGCGTCGCAAAGGCGCCCCCGCCCCGCCCCGCGTGCGCCCCCCCCCCCCCGCCCCGCACCCCTCCCACCCCCCCGCCCCGCCCCGCGCGCGCTCTTCACCCGGGCGGCTTCTCCTTCCTCCCAGCCGCGGCGCGCCGGTGGGGGCTCAGGTCACGTGGGAGGGGCAGCCGCCAGCCCCGGCCGTGGACACCCCCCCCCCCCCGCGTCACCCCGTTAGACGAGACCCCCGCCCGTCCCGTGTCACCCGGCCTCCGCCCCGAGGACGCCCTGGGGGGAGTGGAAAAGAGGAGGTAGCGGGGCGAGGTCCGCTCGTAAAGCCAGCCGGGGGCGGCGGCCAGAAATTGCTGGAAAACGCCGCCACCCGAGGGCCGCGGCCCGGGACCCCGCCCGACGCCGCGCCGGCCGCGGGCGGGTTGGAACGTGACCTTGTTTTCGCGTTGCTAGGAGACCGGCTCGCGTGCGCGCGCGCGCCCCCCACCGGCCGGCGTGGCGGCGGAGACGCGCGGGCCGGGGGCGGGGCCGGGCCGCGGCGGCGCGGGGAGCGGCCGGGTGAGCACCGTTAGCGCTGCCTGGCGCTCGGCGCCGGCCCCGCGGCTCTGGCTAGCAGCGTCTGGCCCCGGCCACCGCCCGGACCCCGCTCGCTGGAGCCTGCGGCGGCTGTCGACGTGGAGTCCGGACACGGGAAGGACGGTTGGGTCAGGTGAGCAGAGACGGGGCTGGGACCGAGGGGGCCGCGCCCTGGCGAGGGTGTCCGGGGGAGGGCGAGTCCCGCAGGGCGGCGGCGGGGTCCTAGGTCGGGTCATTTGTATCCGCGGAACCGGCGCGGCTACCACCACCACCCTGCGGCCGACCAAGGGTTAATGACGAGCCGGCGGGCCCCGGATGTGAGGGCTGTGGCGCCGACGCCGTCGGTGGCGCTGCAGGTGCGCGGACCTGGGCGGGCGGCGGTCTGACGGCCCGGGGTCCCCGCCCCTCTCGGGGCCGCGGGGCTCCCTCCCGGAGCCAGCGCCGGGTTTTCTAACTTAAGGGCAACAGGTGGTGCCGGTGGACCGTGAGCGAGCCGGGCTCTGCAGCCCTGGGAGCGGCAGCAGCCCTCGCCAATTGAGGCGCGGGGGCGGGCATGGCGTGGCCGTCCCGACGCGGAGAACCAATAGGGTTGGGGTTCGTGGGTGTGGCCTTGGGAGTGGGCGTGGTCTCATCCCGGGTCCTGGGTTTCTGGTGCAGGCAAAGCCAGAGTAGCTCAGGAGAGCTGAGCCGAGCATTTCGGGGTGCTCTACCCCTGCGTAGGAAACGCCGGGTAATGCTTTCTCCTTTGGACACGGACTCCAGCTTGGGAGGTGAGAGCACTTGTACTGATGGCCGGGGGTATCATGGTGGTTTTGGGTATGCTGTTAAAATATTTGGGGTTCGATCCCCAATACAGGATTATCTTTTATGTTTTTTTGGGTTTTTTTCTGCCAAGAAAAAGGTACTTGTGTGTTTAGGGTAACAGACCAGATATTGGTGACTCGGTTGGCTAAAGAATGAGGTCCTTAAGATGTAGAGATCGAGGGGAGTACAGAAAAAGTACTTATTACCGCAATCTGAGTGAATCAAAAGAATTTTGATCTCAATTATTCCATCTTTCGCCTCGAATTGAGTACATTTCACATTTCATTGGGTGTGTTTACAGAAAACAAGTTTTTTTTTTTTTCTTTTAAATTCCTCTTGTTGCTTATGTTCGCAGAAATAGAGAAAGCCCATTTTATGGTGTGGTTTTTTTTTTCCCCCTCAAGAATAACATGTTCATTTCCTCCCCAGCAGTCTTGTAGCTTGAATCACCCAGAGGGAAAAACTGTAAAGCTGTAAGAAGAAAGCATTTCAATTTGGGACCCTTGCTTTCAACTGGCAATGGGGAATGGACTATCAGACCAGACTTCTATCCTGTCCAGCCTACCATCATTTCAGTCCTTCCACATAGTTATTCTGGGTTTGGACTGTGCTGGAAAGACAACTGTTTTATACAGGCTGCAGTTCAATGAATTTGTTAATACCGTACCTACCAAAGGATTTAATACTGAGAAAATTAAGGTAACTTTGGGAAATTCTAAAACAGTCACTTTTCACTTCTGGGATGTTGGTGGTCAGGAGAAATTAAGGCCACTGTGGAAGTCCTATACCAGATGCACAGATGGCATTGTGTTCGTTGTGGACTCTGTTGATGTTGAAAGGATGGAAGAAGCTAAAACGGAACTTCATAAAATAACCAGGATATCAGAAAATCAAGGAGTCCCTGTACTTATAGTTGCTAACAAACAAGACCTGAGGAACTCACTTTCTCTCTCAGAAATTGAGAAGTTGTTAGCAATGGGTGAACTGAGCTCATCAACTCCTTGGCATTTGCAGCCTACCTGTGCGATCATAGGAGATGGACTAAAGGAAGGACTTGAGAAATTACATGACATGATAATTAAAAGAAGAAAAATGTTGCGGCAGCAAAAAAAGAAAAGATGAATATGAATACCTTTTGTATCTGTGTGGAATAGGTTTCCTCTGATCTGATTTTGACAAATGGAAGAGTGTCTTCAGCTTGGTTTGCTCGCCTGTCTGCCCTTCTGGATGCTATTAAAGCTTTGTTTTGTTGAACAATCAGATGCCCAAATGTGTTGCCTTGTGGAAGATGAGTAAATACAGTGCTTCTTAAAATGGTCTCACTACTCTACAATTCCTTTGGTACTACCATTCTGGGAAGCCAAAAATTGACCAGAAAGCAGTTATGGAAATTTGACTTGAAGTTCGTGAAATAAAGCTTTGAAGAGTGTCTGCCTAGTGTTTTGTGCTTACATCTTTTTATTTTTTGAGTGTGTGGGGGGAAACCTTTGCAAAGAAATTGCCTACAAGGCTTTGTATGTTAAGATGAAATGCTAATGAATGGAAATCATAAAGAGAGATAAACATATATACAGTTATATTGATCACACTGGGACAAGAAGAAAGTGTTTGCCTTTTTAAAGTTTTGGCCAAATTTTTCTGGAACCAATGCATTATCTCAATTCTAGATGTTTATTTAAGTTTATTAACTTTCATAAGATATTTGAGGAATATTCAAGTGCATGGGTTAGTTTGACGCATGGTTTGGTGTGTAGTATTTTTAGAAATAGCTATGCATCTTTCAATACAGGTTTAAAACAACTTTTGGGGTTTAGGGCTACTATAGAAGTTGTTTATCAGAAACACTATCACTCATATGCCTAGATACATACATGGATTTATGAAGAAAGCAATTGATGAATTTGTCAGGTGGGGTCAACAGAAACCTAAAGATAGCAGTTTTATTAGTATTTGGTGACTGAAAACAGGTGTGGTTTCCCATATATTTTTCTAGAGTTTTGGAAAAAAACAACATTTTAGAGGAACAAAAGCTTTATAAACAATAAATACCTAATGGGCTGTGGATTTAAAAATCTAAGATAAATGTGTTCTGAGCTTTAATCTTTTTGTTTACCAATGGAACTGTATTACCAGCGTTGTTTAGCCCTGATTGTAGGAATAACTAGTACATACTGCAATAAGAATTAAGATTATAGAAAATGAAGGGAAAGTAAAGCTGTTTTATGAATATTCACTGGTGCTGTTTCTGTTGTAATAGAAAAACAAAATGAAACAAAATAAGTAGGGAAGACCTTTGCCTGATTCTTATCTTCAGGAAGAGACATTATTTCTAGTAATGTTGTGTCAGCAACAAGTCAAAGTAGTTCCTGTGTGAAGCCAATAATTGTTCTGAAGTCACCAAAAGAAATGCAGTTTGTTAGCAGGGCTTGTTTTGGTTTTGAGCTTTTTTTTTCTCCATTGGCACAACTGAATTTTTGGGACCTTGATTCCTGTTATACACAAAATAGTTTCCTTTGGAGCTTTCATGTTCAATGTACCTGCACTAGTGATGGTCGCTTAGAATGCTTATATTTATAGAAATGTGGATAATTATCAATAAAATGTTGAGGTATTAGGAGAAAGCGTTTGAGTTTATATGTATTTCTACTTTTTCTAAAGCTTCCAATTAGATGAATTAGAAACAACTGACTAGCTGGGCTTTTTAGTTTTATAGTAGTTTCTCAGGTGAGACAGGCATAGAAGGCAATTTTCTGGGGGAAGATTTTTGTGTTTTTTTTTACTCTTCATTGATACTGAAATCGTGCTCTGCTGTTTTCCAAAATCATTAGATCCATGATGGGATAATAATGTTTGCCAAAATAACTATAAACACTTCAGATTTTCACTGCCTGTACCTTTTATCTACTTGCTGTATAAAATGGTGTTACGTTAAATATGTCTTGGGAGTTCGTTTGTTGACCCTTATTTTACAGCCTACAAATTTGAACCACAGATCTGCATTACCCAAGTCATTTCATATTTAGTCCACAACAGCGAGCTTTATTAAAGACATTTAATAAATGTACTATAGGCTAATAAGTAGTCTTCAAAATGAATCATAGTTTAGGCAAACTTTTTAGATATTTTTTTTCCTCTCAAAGATGTCCCATAAAGTGTTTTCTTGTGATGCAAGAGATCAAAGCCAGGGTCTTATGCAGCTAGGCAAGATGCTGTATCCTCAGCATCTAGAATAAGTGTGCAAATTACTATATTTGAAATTATTTGGCTTAATACAAAATATTAAGGATTAGACAGCTGCAAATTCCAGCTACCCTGATACATGGTAGTTATTATATAGAGACTCAAATATCCAGTTATTCTAAACAGATTAGAAATTGTATACATTAACCAGCATAGGTTCACAAAGAAATCATGGGTATTTTTTGATATAAACAAAAAAAGTAGAATACCTTACTTTGCAAAAATTAAAAATTAGAAACTTTATTTGAAAATTGTTCTTCAGATGCATAACTATTAATAATTTACAACTCAAGGATGAGTACAAATCAGTTTCAGTTCTTGGTCTTGTTTTTGTCTTTGATGTTTCTTATTCTGTAGTTGAGATTGCCTATACTGGGCAATACTGAGTTGTAAGTTGAGTAGAAAAACCTGTATTAGTAGCCAAACTAAGCCCTATTTTCTTGGGCCTGTAAACTCTGGCTGTGGTATGAGAAAAATTAAAGCAGTGCCTAAACAGAAGTCTCACATACCTAGTGCAGGTATATACTCTGTTACCACTTTTAGATGGTTGGAACTGTATGAATTAACAATTTTAAAAGTGTCTCCCCTAGAATAGAAGCATCTGCATTACCAAGGAACTTGCTAGAAATGCAAAACCTCAGGCTTCATTCCAGACCTAGGAATATGAAACGGGTTTTATCAATCACCCTGTTTGTACAACACATTCAGGTAATTCTGAAGTTTTTAAAGTTAACCACTGCACTAACAGAAAATTCAGTCATTTGTTATATTAAGAAATTAAAGTAGTAGAATGAATGCTTGAGGCCCTTGGCTAACCTCTTCTCACACACACACACTCATACTTGGCTAACCCCTTCTTCCCTACATACACACACTTGGCTAACCCCTTCTCCCCCCCCCCCCCCCCCCCCCCCCACTTTGTGGCTCGGGCCTATAAAATCCTGGCTCTGGAGGCTGAGATCTGAGGATCCAAAACCAAACCCTCCCTCCCATGGAGCGGGTTGGGGGGGGGGGGGGGAGTCCATGAGACATCTTCAATTAGGGAACAAAAAGATGAAAGTGGAGCTGCAACTCAAGTGGTAGAGCACTTCCTTGAATGAAAATACTAAAGGAGAGCGCCTTGGTTCTGAGATCAAGCCCCAGTACTGGTATGTGCACCCACACCCATACTAGTAATCCTAATACTGTATAATTCAGACTTCTTAAATGTTTTTTCAGAAGTACAATTTAAAAAAAAATAATAAGCAGTAAAACCTTGTTGGATGAACTTTAGTCAATACCAACAGGAACATGGTCATGCCACTGAAATGATTTATTCATATATGCACGCAAAAGAGGGAGTTTTACTGGTGAGCTTTGTTGAGTATCCTAAATTGAGTAGCCTTCTAAAATGAAGACATAGGTTCAAGTTGATTCACTTCAATAACATGTTAACTTTTAATTATGACAAAGGTAGAGTAGTTCAGTTGTGCTACTTTTCTGCTACTATGATGATACCTGAGACAGTAGAAAAGGCTACTTTGGGCTAATAGTTTAATGGATTTAACTTGGGTCACTTTACCCTGTTGCTTTGGATCTGTGGTAGCACAGTAAATCATGGTAGAAGCACATTTCAGAGGAGGACTGTTTCTTAATGGTGGCCAGGAAACAACAGAAAGGAACAGAGTCCCATTAACCCTTTCTAGGTTACTCCCTAATGACCTCAGTTCTTCCAAGGAGACCATACCACACAAAGGTTAAACCACAGTGCCCAAGACTGGAAGCTATGCCTTGAACACATAGGCCTAGCCTTTTGGAACACATTAGATATCCAAGTCCAATGCATCTTTTATTTCAGTTATTAGCAACTCAGGACCAATCTAGCTTCCTCTATGCTGTCTTTTTCCCCTCTGTCCTTCCCCTTCACTACTGGAAGTTACATTTTATTTATAAATACTTTTGTATGTCTCTAAAAGAGAAAATCTTAGTATTAGCTCATGTAAAAAAAAATCAACTTACTTAACAAAGTCAGATATCGATTTGGTGTTTAGATTTCCCTGATTATTTAAAACTTTTTTAGGACTCAGGATCCAGCCAGTTCAAGTCCATACATTGTGATTGGTTGATTTGTCTCTAGGTCTTATCTATTGTCTTAATCCATATTTTGCACCTATATAGCTTCCCACCTCTGGGCCTTGCTGAATGTATCTCTATAGTGTTAACATCTTTCCCTGTACTTTGGTTTTTCTGTATTTTCCCCCCAAGAGTACTTTACAGTGCTTTGTACTTCCATCAGTAGGTACTAGATACAACTTTTTTTTTTTTTTTTGATGTTAGCCATTGATGATGACTGTCACATGTAGTAATATGTAAATATCCCCTATCAGGCTAGGCACCGGTGGCTCACGCCTGTAATCCTAGCTACTCAGGAGACTGAGATCTGAGGATCGCCGTTCAAAGCCAGCCCACATAGGAAAGTCCGTGAAATTCTTATCTCCAGTAAACCACCAGAAAACCAGAAGTGGCACTATAGCTCAAGTGGTAGAGCACTAGCCTTGAGCTGAAGAGCTGAGGGACAGCGCTCAGGCCCAGAGTTCAAGCCCCACGACCGACAAAAAAAATAATAAAATAAATAAAATATCCCCTATCTGTGCTGTCAAACATGGTGGCCTTTAGCCAATCACATGCTGAGTGTTTCAGTAGCACAAACTTTCCACTTCATGGTGACTTGCTTATTCTGAAATTTGATTCTGTTTGTTTTTTGTTGTTGTTGTTGTTGTTATTGGTCATGGTGCTTGAATTTAGGGGCTAGGCACTGTCCCTGAGCTCTTTTGCTCAAGAATAGTGCTCCACGACCTTGAGCCACAGCCCCATTTCCATTTTTTGAATAGTTCATTGGAGTTACCCTGACTTTTTTGCCGGAGCTGGCTTTGAACTACAATCCTCATCTCAGCCTCCCGAGTAGCTAGGTGTGAGCCACCAGTGCCCAGCTTATGTCAACATATTTTATACACACACACACACACACACACACATTTCAATCCTTTGTAGCTTGTTACCTTCACTTATGTTTCAGTTGTCCCATTTTCAAAGAACTGAGCCCTTTTTATATGATTCCAGTAAATTTTGATAGTTTTTTGCCTTCTAGTTTTGCATAAAGTTCTTGCCTTATGCTATACATATTCTATTCCAGACTTGATAATATTTGGA